GACTTGGTCATTAAGATAGATAGATAGATAGATAGATAGATAGATAGATAGATAGATAGATAGATAGATAGATAGATAGATAGATAGATAGATAGACTTGATTGATCGATATGTGGGGTTTAACGTCCCAAAACCACTATATGATTACGAGAGAAGCCGTAGTGGAGGGCTCCGGAAGTTTCGACCACCTGGGGTTCTTTAACGTGCACCCAAATTTGAGCACATGGACCTACAACATTTTCGCCTCCATCGGAAATGCAGCCGCTGCAGTCGAGATTGGAACCCGCGACCTGCGGGTCAGCAGCCGAGTACCATAGCCACTAGACCACCACGGCGGGGCATAGATAGATAGATAGATAGATAGATAGATAGATAGATAGATAGATAGATAGATAGATAGATAGATAGATAGATAGATAGATAGATAGATAGATAGATAGATAGATAGATATTGGGTTATGTTGGAAAACGTTGTACCTTTAACGCAGAATGAAAGCGTTCCGCCAATACTTAAGCAGAAAATAGACACATAATGCTTAGAAGCCCCAAAAAGAGTGATATAGGACTCGTTTGGTGGATTCCGTGCAGAAAAACTGTGCCGTTTGCTATCTCCGACGCCAGCATAGCTTTCGCTGATGGGCCAACCGTCCGCGTATTTCTCACGCAGTGTAGCTCCAACCGACCGGTGTCTTGTTCTTGGACTTCTTGAGCCGCGTTCAATCTTTTATGGTGATAAAAGTTTTATGAACACTAACCGCTAGATTTTGCTTCCGGTGTTGGTGTCATGCACTGTATATTTATACGCATCTAAATATATAAGAAAACTCAAGAACAAAAATCCACAAAAATACTCCAGCGCTCGGATTCCAGCGTGGGATCTCCGCGTCGTGAATGCGAGGCGTTAACCACTGAGAAAACTAGGGGTGCCTCCTTCAGTATTCAAATGGCAAGCGATTTATATCTTCCACTCTGCTGTTGGCGGGCATCCCAGGGGGAGGAGGGAGGGGAACTATTGTATTTTCAACATTATCAGCAAGATGGCGCATTGAGCGTGCGGCGGCTCTCACCTCTCACGCGTATTTAGGCCCACCGAGCTGAGGGGGGCGGACGATCCTTCGCGCGCCCTTATCTACCGGTGGAGAAGATCATACTTCTTGGCTTGCGTTAGGCTTGCACTGAAACAGTTCTGTTGTAGTTACCGGGCGCACAAAGGTCACTGTATTCGTCGCACAGCCTCTGTTGGCGAAAAGGGTGTGCTTTTCAGACACAGTGAAGTAACAAGAGACACGCTTATTGGCGTCTATATGTAACTGCGAGTACAATTCATGCGTCGTTTCTACGTGAGAAACGGGGGACATGTCCATATCTGCTTGCCATTCCGCGCGTGATGATCCAATATGTAGCTATCGCGTTAATTGCTTCGCCATTGCGACAAAGCTGAGACTTATTTTGTCTTCTCAATATTCTCAATCTATTCCTTTTAATCCCTTCTTATTCCACTTCCTCGTGAGCTACTGCTCAGTTGTACGACTTAGCTTCAGGAAATTGAAGGGCTCACTTTTTTCTTCTTTTTGCATCTTCTAAAAGCACGCCCCCTGAATGACGTATCAAACTTGACAATCAGCCTCTTCAAAGTGGCGTTTAATAGCCATTTACTTAACCACATTTAAAAAGCTTGAAGCTACATGATATAAACAGTTCCATCACACTAAGTTCACAGAAAAGTGTGCATTTTATCAGAAAAAAAAACGCCAGGCCTGCTTTGTAGGCGCAGCACAGTCACAGCAAAAGCTAGAAGAGCGGCCTTTCTTAGCCTTTTCAAAATACTCCCTGGGTATAACTACTGCACACTCGCTTCATACCCACTAAGCATTATTAAAAGCCTTTTGGGTGGTAGGCCGCCATCCGCTATGCTATTTTGCGTCATTCTTATGAGAAGCGCTGCACACTTGCAAGACAATTCGTGCCAATTGTTCATACGGTGGCACGATTATGAGGAATCATGGCTGAAGTGGGTATGTGCCACAGCTAATAGGGGAACAAGAACAAGGTTTTGTAATGAGTTGGAGCATTGGACGACCCGCTCGTTACGTTATTTCCATTGTGCGACGACGAGTTCTTGTTGTGCTGTTTTAAAACGCTTTACAAGTCGTATTAACGCGATTGCTTTCTCGACATCACGCCTTCCTTAGGCAAGTTTGCCAACAAGTCACAGTCACCAACGTATCTCATTGGTAGAATACTGAGCTGGCGCCCAGAATACCCAAGGTTCGAGTCTCAGTGTGCCTTTAATGCAAAGAGGTAGTGGCGGAGGCGCTGGCGGCAGCGGCGGAAAACTGCGCATGACCCGAGTTGCGATCTCATAACAGCTTTCGCTGTAAGGAGTGCTTTAAATGCACCAAAAAAAACACCTTGTTGAAATGTCCAACAGCTCGCTGTTTTTCGAGAAAGTAATCTTATGTGCACCAAACAGGAAAGAAATACCAGGCGCTGCCTGCTTGTCACAATCTCTAAACTATGGCATAGAGACGATGTAGGTAAGGAATGTTTTTTTAAAGCAGCTGCTGCATCTACTCCCCATTTTACGTCTCATTTTGTACTACAACAATGACATTCAGTCGGAAGCAACATGCGCCCCACCGCAGTGGTCTAGTGGCTAAAGTACTCGGCTGTTGACCCGCAGGTTGCGGGCTCGAATCCCAGCGGTGGCTGCTGCTTTTCTGATGGATGCGGGAATGTTGTAGGCCCGTGTGCTCAGATTTGGGTGCACGTTAAAGAACCCCGGGTGGTCAAGATTCCCAGAGCCCTCCACGACGGCGTCTTTCATAATCACATATGATGGTTTTGGGACGTTAAACCCCACATATCAATCAATCAATCAATCAATCAATCGACCATGCACCGTGCAAACGGTGTTGCCACCTGAAGGCGATCCTCCACAAGCAGTGCAGCCTTATCAATCTTCTTGGTGCTGGCTGTGGAATACCATTTATATGCCCCGCCGTGGTGGTCTAGCGGCTAAAGTACTCGGCTGCTGACCCGTCGGTCGCGGGAACGAATCTTGGCGGTGGCGGCTGCATTTTCGATGGAGGCGAAAATTTTTTAGGTCCGTGTGTTCAGATTTGGGTGCACCTTGAAAAGCTCCAGGTGGTCAAATTACCGGAGCCCTCCACTACGGCATGTCTGAGAATCATATCGACGTTTTGGGTCGTTAAACCCCACATATCAATGAACCATTTATATGAACGTTGAGGTGGCCAGCAGGATGCGATAGCACTGTTGATAGCCGCGGAAAGCTCACGACGGTTTCATACCTGCATGATCTGCCACACACATAGAAACGCAGCACCGCCTAAGCGGTGCCAAGCCCGAACAGGGGGCGTAGCTACGCAGTCTTTGCTTTTCTTTGTTAGCTGTCCTCTTTTCCAGTCTCTTGTGTCTTTATCACTCTTTATTTCTATTTAGCTTCTTTATGATTTCTCTCTTCCTATATTTTGCACTTGCTTATTCTTAATTTTTATACGTTGTTTGTGTTTGTGAGGTTTGCAACAGTGGTAATTTCTTCACTTTATCTTATTGTGAAAGTTCTTGAACAAAAAGGCCAGCAAGTCTTTTCTTTAGCATGGTCGCTTGATTTGCTTGCTACGCTTGGCCCCTACGTTGTTTTACCTACGCTGATATCGTTATCAAAGTGCTTGAAGAACAATTGAAAGAGAACACGTTAAAATTATCATAAAATCCGTTCGGAAAACAAGCTGAATACGTTTTGCTTGAACTGAACACGCTATAGGTGGCTGCAATATATACATATATGTGCTCTTGACAGCGCTACGGCAAGAGACGGCGACATGCCACAACAGCTGTTATACTCCAAGGCAGCGGCCACGTGCTTTCACCTGCGTCATGGTGACTTTACCTTAGCAAAGCAGAGCACTCTATATTCCGGTGATGTCTCACGCTGACCAGGCAGACGTTGCTTGACGCACTCTGCCGTCACTCGGCTCAGTACTGCATTTCACATCGGGCAAGCCGGACTCATTTACACGGAACACCCATACTCATCCAACCGATTGCGATTATGTGAAAACAACGTGCACTCAGCTTATTATTGCGCACGCGTTGCTAAGGCTGTAACCTTTGCATCAAGTCTGGTTGTGCTGAAAAGCGGGCTTGCGCCCCACGTGGCATCACCGCGACGAGACGAATGCCAGCACGTGCGCGAGCTGCGAACGTCTAAGTACAACAAAAGCTTAATACAATCCGCTCACCTGAAATGCAACGCACTAAAAAGTGAGCGTTTGAGTCAATATGAGTGTTTAAGTTTTGAACAAACTAATAGAACTGTGGAGACACACCACGCAACTAATAGCAAAATACGCGGCTGTGATGGGAACAAAAAACCATAGCTTCCCCTGTGTGCAAATCACTACGTTAGTGTTATGAAATGGTACCCTCACGAAAGGCTTAGAAAAAACAACAGCGTAAAGAAGTGTGGTGATTGTCTGTTATTTGCGCATAGCCGATCGTATGGCACTTGGCCTTTTTTTATGAAAAACTTATTGTATACTCTTTCAACAAAATAGAACCACGTGGCTCTTTATTTATTCTGTGACCACACACTGGCTAGACCAAGGTTCTGCTAGTGCCGCATCATTTTCAATATCCAGAAAAGAATTCTGATTCATTCATGCATCCGCATGTGCGCAACCCTCATATTATGTTTATATGTTCTATTTCAGTGTCTCACAAACCATTGGTGAAATTTATCACTTAGGCATGAGTTACTCCTTCTGCCATCACCATCCTCTCAGTTCCTCGCGTAACACTATCAATTAATCAGTACATTGCAAGCGGAATAGGCGGCCGAGCTGGTTTAAGGCAGGTGTGTTTGAAGATGGCTGGAAAAAGTTTTTTACCTTTACTGTAAACAGCCAGAGGGTTATATTTTTCGCCTCTGAATTTTAGGGCAGTGTCTTAGTCGATGTGTTTATGAATTTCAGGCATACCAGCTGTTCTTCGGGAAACTATGATTTATGAGGCCCCAAATTCTTCATGCGCCATTGTGAAGCTCCGGCCAAATATACGAGGTATGCGATGACCTATAGTTTTTGTTGCCTTGTACAGCATGCACGATGAGCATCACCATTCGCGTCCGGCATTAGTGTCATTTTCTTTTACAGCACTACACCTTTCCTTCTGTTCGTTGTGCGGTTCTATAAACAAAACTTAGTAATGTGATGGATCCGGCTAGTTCACGTTCCATTATCGGTAACGTAATAGCGTGTAAGTAGCAGGATGGACAAGAAAAGGGACGTGAATAAACGCTCACCATAAAACAGATAATCATTATTACAAGATCGGTGACTTCTGCACAAAATGCATTTACAGAGGAAAAACCACAGCCAAGAGTCACAATGACTGATTGGCACTCTCGAGCGCCTGTCAGTTGATTCTGTCCTTCCCCTTCCTTTACTGCATCTCTGTAACAGGAACCCCGGGCGTTGGAGCGCCGTCTAGGCACGAGTCCGGACAAGTGCGACAGAAGTAGGGTTTCATGCGCAAAACATGGACACTGTGAACAAAAGATGAACTTGGTGACGTATTGGAGCGCTATGGCTCTATATCGTAGTTGACGTCGCTATCTTCACGTAGGACTAGGTACGGTCTTGCGTATTGGGACAAATTTTTTTCGGAGAGAGCTACACGGTGACACGGTGGCCAGAGGAGCACGCGGTCACCTGGGGCAAACGTTATATAACGATGTCGGTGGTCGTAGCGAGATTTTCGCATATCCTGTGACCTGGTGAGACGGTGCTGGGCCACTTGACAAGCCATGTGAGCCCGATCGATGGCTTCGCTAGCGTACTCGGAAGCAGATGGCTTGAAAGGTAAGGTGGTTTCAAATGTCATTATGGGGCCGCGATCATACAAAAGATAAGAAGGTTAGAACCCCGTGGTGTCATGTCGAGAGGAATTACATGCGAAAGTCACATAGGCCAACGTGGTGTCCCAGTCACGATGATCTTCCGAGACATGCATCGAAAGCATCACTATGAGCGTGCGGATGAGACGTCCAGGTTGGCCATTAATTATTGGGTGGTAGGTGGTAGATAGCTTATGCGCTGTAGCACACGATCGAAGGAGGTCATCGACAGCTTTGGACAAGAAAGAACGGCCGCGGTCCGTTAGCAGCTGTCGGGATGCGCCGTGGTAGAAAATGACCTCACGAAGAAGAAACTCTGTGACGTCAGTGGTGCAACTGGTTGGCATGGCCTTTGTTATCGCGTAATGGGTTGCGTAATCTGTGGCAACGACGATCCATTTATTTCTCAGTGTCGTTGTCGGAAAAGGGCCAAGAAGGTCGAGTCCCACGCCATGAAATCGTTCAGAGGGGAATGACTGTCAGACTGGATGGCATCGATGATAATCCGCCCTGACTCATCCTGTCGTTGTTCAATGCGCATATCGCCGATGTAAGTGAACATCATTACGCTGCTCTCCAGGTCAGTCACAACGGGATCAGGAGGGTCCCCCAGATGACGAGAAAGACAGTCTGCGTCCTTGTGCAAACGGCGAAACTTGTAGCTGACGCTAAACAAAAACTTCTGGAGCCTCCGAGCCCAACGACCTAGACGTCCAGTCGGGTCCCTCAGAGAAGTCAGTCAGCAGAGGGCGTGATAGTCTGTAACGACGAAGAACATGAGACCATATAAATATAGCCAAAACCCGTGACAGCCCATACTAAAGCTAAACTTTCTCGGTGATGGAATAATTCCTCTCAGGGAAAAAAAGCAGGCGACTGGCGTAAGCTATCACGCATTGTCTGCCGTGGTGCCGCTGAGCGAGAACTGCGCCAATACCGTGGTTACTGGCGTCGGTGTGAACTTCAGTGACAGCAGAAGAATTAAAGTGAGTGAGTATGAGGGGCGTAGTTCAATAGCCGATGAGAGCGGTGAATGCTTGAGCCTGCTCAGTGCCCCATGAGAGTGTGGTATTCTTTTCAGAAAATCTAGGAGTGGCCTGGCAACGTCGGCGAAGTTTTTCACAAAACGACAAAAATAGGTACATAAGCCGATGAAACTCCGGAGGTCGGATATAGAACAGGGCACCAGAAAGCTACGGACGACGCGGAACTTTTCGGGATCTGGTTGGACGCCATCTGCGTTTACAGATGGCCCAGAACAGTATTCTGACGGCGGCCAAATTGACATTTCTTGGAGTTTAGTTGTAGCCCAGTTGATGTGAAGACTGTGCAAATTGCAGTGAGACGGGTCAGGTGGCTATCGAAAGTAGATAAAAAGACAATGACATCGTCTAGGTAACAGACACCAGAGACAAGCAGACCACTTATAACCACGCAGGAGAGAGTCCATCATTTGTTCGAATGTGGCAAGGGCTTTACATGGTCCAAAAGGCATGACTTTAAACTGGTATAAACCATCCGTTGCAATAAAGGTCATCTTCTTGCGGTTCATCTTATTGACAGAAATTTGCCAGTAGCTGGACCGAAGACCAATAGACGAGTAGTATGTAGCGCCGTGCCGGCATTTCAACGCGTCATCGATGCGTGGTAGCGGGTACACATCGTTTCGCGTTGTATTGTTGATGTGGCGATAGTGAATGCAGAAGCGCCAGGTACCGCCCTTTTTCTTCACAAAGACGACAAGGGAGGCCCAAGGACTACTTGATAGTTCTGTGAGCTTTGTTGAGCATTTTGTGAACTTCCGCCTGGATCTTCTGCTTGGATGAACTTCCGCTTTGTGAACTTCCGCTGCGCTCAGTGTGGGAGACACGACAGGGGAGTCGGCGCATGGAACTGGCGTCACAAGTGTTTATACGGTGCTGAACGGTGGATGTTTGCCCTAGAGGTCTGTCGTCGAATTAAAAAATGTCGGTATATGAGGTGAGAAGGCGATTGATGTCGTTGGCTTGCGCAGGATTGAAATCAGGTGCAATCATCTTCGAGAAATGATTTGGCAGAGAACAGGTGCGTTAGCTATAGGAGACGGAAGTTAATCAATCTCGGTGGTGAGAGCCGTTATTCCTAATTCGTCAGCTGGAGATACACTGGCCAAGAACATGCCCCAAGGAAGCAATTGAGGGCAAAAGCTGAAATCGATGCGCGAGGTACAGTTGTCAGCGACAGTGACAAGCGTATGGGGAATGGCGATGTTGTGCTCCAATATAACGTCGGCGAGAGGAAGGAGGACATATTGGCCATCGGGAACCTGTGGCTGTGCGGTTAAAACGACGTAGGCGGCTGCCTGAGGTGACAGTCTCACATCCTGAAGAGAGCACAGGTGTGGCGGGGCAGTGTGGGGTTTAGCGACTATCTGAGGCAGCTCTAGCTGAAGGACGCCGGTAGCACAATCAATAAGAGCAGAACGATTGGAAAACAAGTCCAGGCCTAGGATAACGTCATAAGGGCAGTGGTCAATCACGGCTAAAATGACAGATGTGTAGTGTGGTCGTTTATACTCAAGCGGGCAGTTTCTGCACGAAGCATTTGTGCAGCTGCTGGTGTGGTGTCAAAGCATTCTTTAAACGTGTGCGTAGGCTAGAACTTAACACAGAAATGCGCGAATGTGCCAATCATCTATTGTCACTCTTGCCTGTGGTTTTTCCTATGTAAATGCATTTTGTCCAGAAGTCACCGACCATATAACAATATTATTAAACGCACGAAAGAAAAGCGATTACATTCAGGGGCATCAGGTATAGCCATATCAAAAATAGCAACACGCTACATAACGACTTGCAGCTGAAAAACATGAACTACAAAGCAAAACTTTTCGGAGTTACCATTTGGCATATAGTTTGAAAGACATCGCAGCAACCCCGTCGGGTGAGTTAGTGGCTGCGGCAGGGATATGATGACCCATATAGCTACCAGAGAGCATTCGGGCTATTTTTCTCAGTGTCAGAGTTTTACCAACGCTGCACACTATATTTGACATATTCCGACTGCGAAGTGGCGGTAGTTTTTCCCAATACGCCTTGGTGTTGAGAAGTAAACATGAACGTTCTCTTCATATTTCATGAATAATTTCCCGATGAATCACAAAATTAGTGTCTACGCAGCTATAAATTAGGTAAATATACATGTCAATAAAAACATTACTCAATATATGCAGTCTTTTAAATGATAACTTTTGCTAGATTCTTGAAATAAGGACGCCATGGTCTATGTTTTCGTAGCATAAGTCCAGTGACCCAGGTTGAGCAGTTTCATGTGGCTTATCGAAAGCAGGGCTACACATGCCCGAGGAGCACTGACATCACACGATGCATAGCTAGGGGACGACAAGAACAACAAGAGAGAAGGCAGGGAGGTGAACCAGGCACACACCCGGTTGGTTGGTTGATTGGTTAGTGGTTCGTGAGAAAAGGAAGAAGGCACCTATTTCTGTCTGCCTACAGGTGACACGGCGCAGTGCCCATACCCGGTTTGCTGCCCTACGCTGGGGGTATGAGAAAATGCAGTGAAAAGATGATAAAGGAGGAAGAGAAGAGAAAGATACAAAGAAAGGATTGTCAGTCAATGGGCTGACGTGTATGAAGCGGTGTCACTGCACAAAAGTTGAAGGTGTTCACATATGCCTGTAGTCCACAAAAACGACAAGACAGCTTTGACTGCCTTATGAGCCGACAAAAGACGAGGACAGTGCTCCGGTAGCATCTGCATAGAGAGTGGCTGATCGTCCAATTGTCAAAATGAGTCAGAAGCTTCCATATTTCAGAGGCAAATCGAGAGAAACGGCATAGCTGCTGGTCGATGTCTGATATGTTGCCGTCGACGTCTCATTCCGCATTGTCGATCAACCCAATGAGGGTTAAATATGCTTTTTTGAAGGCAACCTTCAACCAAAGGCAACAAAGAAGCGAAGCTTCGCGTCGACGAAGTCCGGATGGGGTCGAAGTTCCTGTCGAAGGTTTATTTGGTAGGTTCTCGTATGTCTTAATGGCGTGCCTGAGAAGAATCCGAAGCTGCTTCAGCGACGTGCCACTAGGGCTGGCGTCTGACTCGCGTGAGTTCACTCGCTAGTTTTTCCGTACCTCCGTTTGTCCGTCTGTGCAGCCGTAAATCTGTTTGTCCACTCGTCATTGCTTAAGGTACGTATATTTCAGCATTGCTGAGATAAGCCACTGCTGAATGTGTGGTAGTGTGCGTTGCTTAGGAAAAACAATGCTGGAACTGTAATATTGAAAGCGATAGCTCCGCGCGTCTCTGTAGAAACGATGAAATGTCTCGTTTCTCGAATCTGAACTCCGTCAGGTTAAGCGACGCGGAAGTAACTTGAGCGAAATTCTTGCGCCACGCGTTTTCACAAACTAACAGCTTGTCAAGGCGCATTTGTGTTACGGCTCCTGAATCTCTCGCTATGCTTGCTTAGTCCTTAACATGCAATAAACAGAAAACACGGAATAATGCTTTATTTTTGCAATCAAATGTTATAGATTTTGCCAACGCAAGTCAATCAACTAGTGATAGCAGAATTGATATGATCGCGCTCCTTCAAGGCCAATTTTTGATTTGCAACTGCAACTTTAGTTCGGATGTCACTTTGATTGTGTGGATGCTTTTGTACCAGAGAAATAACAAATTTGTGAATTTGATAAATTTGGCGTCTCGTTTTTCTTGCTTATCGCAGGTGCAGCGTCTTATTACGAGCTTCGAGTGAAAAACACTTGTAATCGAGCTTTGATTCACAGGCAGTGTTTGAGACACTATCGTAACCTCACTGATCAAGAAAAACAAGTTCATGAGCCAGAGAGACAGCATCTTGTTGACTCACGTGAGTGAACGTACGATGCACTCGGATGAAGTATCTATTTCTAGCAACCTGACAACGTTTAGCCCTTTCAATGGTGTTGAGCATTGCTGATATTACACAAGATTAACGTTCTCTGCCAGTAAATAAAAGAGGCTGAAGTTATGCTCTTCATTTCTGCAAGTTGTGTTCAAAGCATTCAATTGTAATAAACACGGTCATGCACAATAATATTGCAATAATTTTTTTCACAACTTTTTGCTATATGGTCGAGACGGGTGCTAGAAAATTTAGAAAAAAACCCGGGAAGCGATCATTTGACTCTAAGCTTCTCCACAACTACTCCCAAACTCAAACGCGGACGCTCTTCTGCAGCTGTAACAGATTGGCCATTATATCACAAGTACTAAATCTCGTTAACCCTATCAGAAAGCATGAAAGAATGGACATTGGGCTTTAAAGAGGCTTATAGAGCCTCTACCAGTAAAATACACTAACCACGAATAACCCAATAGTCGACTCACACCTTCTACATTTCCTGTACTGCACACGGGGACTCACCGGAAAAGGGAAGCAGCAAAAGCTCAACTAGGATATGAGAATAAGGGATGCTGAACTTGAGAACCAGGCGAATGCATGCATGCCTAAACTACAAGCGGAAAAGTGGGCACAGTTGACTGTTTCCTTAAGGTGAACTTTATCGAGATTGACAACCAGGCCCATGCTGAGAAGTGTGCTTCATTCCATAAATACAACGACGGCAAACACCTGAGCCCTCAGAACACAGACGAACACGTACGAAGACGACAACGCAAGATTGCTGCAGGATCTTCCGCAGTGATTCATCAGAACAAAATATTCGTTGTATCTTTCACGTACTTACGCAGGCATATAAGATGACACGCTAGATTCCCATCCAATTAGGCACGCCTTTTCGCTGCCACGCAAGCATTTAAAAAAATCAGCATCCAGCGGAGCATCCTGAATCATGCTCACCAATGTAAGTGACATGCAGCTCGAACACTTAGTTAAGTACTTCAATGAACAGATCTGGAAGACTGGGCGCTTTCCACAACAAGTGAAAAAATACACCGTCATACTTCAGCCTAATGGACTACCTAACAACATTTAACCTTTTGTCACATAAGCAGTTTGGTTTTCGTGCCAAGTTTTCTACCGAATTAGCACTGATTAAACAAACAGATAGCATAAAACAGTCCATCGAGAAGGGGCTCTGGGCAGGGGCGTTATTTATAGATTTCACTAAAGCCTTCGACACTATAAACCACTCTATTTTGTAGCTAAACTTAATTCCTTGGGAATTTGTGGGCCTACTTTAGCCCTTTTACAAAGCTACCTCGCTAAAAGAAACCAGGTTGTCAATTATGGCGGTGTTTTATCCTCACCAATAATAACTAACCAGGGAGTTCCACAAGGCTCAATTCTGGGACCTCTCATGTTTTTTATCTACATTGACGACTTGCCATCATCACTTGACTCATCTGACTGAATCCTTCATGCTGACGATACCACGATCTTTTCTAGTGACAAAGATCTTAACAATCCACTAGCAAAATTTTGCAAAACTTGTTTCGTGGTGCAAAAATAACTAATTGAAAATCAACCCTGTTAAAACTACTTTTATGTTATTTTACTCGTCCCCAAAAAGCGTTACGATTTCACCCGAAATATACATTGATTACTGTGTCATCACCTCATCGAAGTTCACAACTTTTCTAGGTGTCACATTAGACCCTCAGCTCAAACATAATATTCACGTGAATTCTGTCGTCAAAAACACTGCTTTTGGCATCCGCATACTCATTTGCACGAGGCATTGTTTTCAGCAATACATTTTAAAATCACTTTACTATGCTTTCATTAACCGCCACATACCCTACTGCATTTCATACTGGGCCAATACCTACGCCACACACCTAACCTCTCTCACTCACCTTCAGAAAAGAGCAGTCCGAATTATCACACATAGTTCCTACACAGCATCAGCAGCACCCCTCTTTAGCACTCTCGAAATTCTGCCGTTCATTTCCACCTTTCAACTCAAACTTGGAATTTTATTATTTAGAAGTAGAGTTGGTGACATTCCCACTGACATACTTCCCCTCACACATCTCCACAATACTAATAACACACGGTTTTCTGAAAATAGAAACCTTCTGCTTCCAAAAGTAAGTACTAACTGCGGCAAAATGACAGCCTTGTTTTTGCTATTTCTTTCTAGAACTCACTACCATCAATTATTAAATCAAGCCCCTCATTACATTGTTTCCGGTGGCATCTAAAACAGTTCTTACTAACAACATGCGACACCTGAATATATATATATATATATATATATATATAGTGTGAGCGCTGATTGTGTTGCTCATCATTTTCACTTTCACCTGCGCATACAAAGCACCGTGATCATCATCATCGTAGCGGCTCGCTGCTTGTTCGGTTGCTGACTCGCGCGTCTGGGTTGACAATAAAACGGTCGCTCCTTCGTACCTGACGTCGTCTCACAAGTGGTGGAGGTGAGACGACGTCACACACACACACACATATATATATATATATATGTGTGTGTGTGTGTGTGTGTGTGTGTGTGTGTGTGTTTGTGTGTGTGTTTCAATACGGTTGTATGCATTTATGTGTACGTGTACAGGTTCTGAAGTGACACTGTGTTAGTTAGTGATATGTAAGTGTTATGTTATAGTCATTTTATCCAATTAGTTATCTCCTGTTTTATCACTTACATGTAAATACTTTGAACTGCCATAAGTTTCAATAATAACTTTCGTTACGTTCATTTTGTTTTATTCGCTTGCTGTTTTTTCGTTAGTTGCCAATCTTTGTTCTTTATTTTTATTCATGAATTCACAGGAGGTCCCCCTGACAGTTTTTACTTTGGGACCTCCTTCTGTATTATGTCAACTTTTACTTGCACTGTATTGTACTGAATAAAGAGATTTATCTAGACCTAGAAAAAGTCGCCAAAACTAGCTCTCTGCAGAACTTATGTTCCATTACCCTCACATCCCGCCTACGGAACTCTCTCCAAAGGCCATTCAGACTGATGCATACGAATTACATAGAAGATCACAGTCTCATGCCAGACTATATATACGGCTCTAGCAGACACCTATTCAATGAGGACATGTTTCTAAGTATTAAGAAGGAGGGACTATGCAATATTCCTACGGGACGGGAGCACATAGTTGCAGCTGTAGCACCTCGAAAGTGCTTTCGACACTGTGTCACACGCACTCATCCTCGAAGAATAAGAAAATAAGGAAGGTGGAAAGATGAGGGAAAGTATACAATTGCATCCGCTCCTTTCTAAAAAGTAGAAAAGTCTCGATAGGAACAGATAACATCAGGTAGGAAAAATTTGACATGCAATTTAAGGGTACACCACCAAGGACTATACTATATATCCTCTTTTAATTATGTTAGGTCTGGGCAGGCTAGCTAAGACATTACAGCAAATTCTTGTCCTGAAGCTCTCGATATATGTCTATTAAATCAGCCTTCTAGTGACGACAGCCTCTCTAGGGTACGAAGAACAAGTTTTAAGAGAAGCAATTGCAGCAGTTATAAATTTTGCAGAACAATGTAGAATGTCTTGCTTCCGAAACAAATCTGAATAGATGAGCGTGTACGGCCTTGAAGACAAAAACTACTGAAGGTTTGTCTATCGCTAGGCAACGTGAAATTCGAGAAATACTAAAAGAGTCCTAGGTCTATGGCTACAAGATAATCTCAAGAGTGATTTCACTATAAAAAGCGCTGAAGGCGACTACCAAGCAGATCGCGTGCATGATAAACAGAATGGCTAGAAACGGCAGCGCTGTGAGGGAGATGAAGACCATTCGACAAGTAAAAGCGTTTTTTATTGGGTCAAATATAGCTTGCCGTTTAAAGAGCTCAGTCCTAGTGAAACCAAAGAAGTGGACATGATCATATGGGTGACGTGTAAAGCGGTCATGGGACTGCCCCCTTGCACATTTAAAGAGAGTCTACAAGCACTTAAACTTCACCTTCGAGGAGCTGAGAGTGCAGAATATGCTAGGCACAGGGACCGCTTCTGCCGCTTGAAGGCAATGAGACACGTTCTTGCGGATTTTATTTTTCCTATTCAACTATGTTACTGCTAGAAGGAACTTGTTTTCTAGCAGTAACATGGTAGCGGGAGTAACGAATATGGTAGCGGGAGTAAAGCAAGAAAGGTTGTATAGTGATCTTGTCGATATTCTTTTACCGGTAGCACTTCACAGGAGTTTGCATCCGGCTGGTCACGACCAAACTGTACTGGCCCGAGTAAAAAAAGTGAGTTACGATGAGTGAGTTAAAAGAGTGAGTTACGATGAGTGTTGGGGCGAACGCTGTGGGTTTCAGTGCTAAACCGTGAGTCATCCGTAAATAACGCCCACTACATAATCAAAAACGTGATAAACGCTGTATATATCTATACAATACACTCTGTTATCGATAATTGGTAGCTATATGCCACTTCCGTTCCCCTTTCATTATAACGGCTCTATAACGGATCATTGAAGTAGTGGATTGGTGATGGCGGCGTAGTGGGATGTTCGCGAGGACGAAGTAGTGAACAGTTTGCAAAGGTGAAACTATAGGCGGTCCAAGGAGGATTTAAAAAATTGCTTTAATCCTCCTTGAGGCGGTCACGTACGAACGACAATAGGGATGAACACAGTGGGACAATCTATGGATCTTTACCGCACACCAGGGTAAACGTGCACGACCATCTTGCATTCTATATTGCCTACTTCTTAAGAGTATTTGTTTTGTGGTCGGGGAAGGATTGGATCGGTGATAGAGCGTAGTGGGCTGTTTGCAAAGACGAAGTAGTGGGCAGTTCGGATGCGTCTCAGAGATCGCACTTTAGAAATGGTCTTATAAAGCACGATCTTTGGGCCGTTCGCTAAGAGGGAACAATAGGTGGTCACGCACATACATAAAAGTGATAGACAGACCCATCTCTTTAGGAGATTCGCCCCTATTATGGCTGTCCCACCGATTTCAAGCTAATTTTTTAAGGTCATTCCAGGGGTTCAAGAAGGTAAAACGTGGATACAAGCAAATGGGTCTGTTTGTACCGTAGGAAACACACTGTTTTCTCTTGTCGCCAACCTGAAAGCGTCGAACATGCCTTTATGAATTGTTGGGAAGGTTTCTTCTTTCGAGAAATTGTGCAAAGAAACATCCAAAAAGATTTACCACTAGACACCTACGGGTTCAGGTTTTTACCAGTTAGTGAAGAAGATGTAGCATATTACAATACTGTTATATTGCACGGCCTTCACAATAGTTGGCAAAAAATACTTGGCTGATTGTCACGCCGACATAAATACGCTGCCCATTACTGAATGTTTCCGACAATTTATCATGAACTTTATTGAAGACAGAAATGTTAGAAGTCCAGTACCAGAGTAGCTCAAGTAGCTTGAGCTACTTATTCGCATGAAGGAATTATAATGACTATGTAATTATTGCGTTTGTTACCTCTGTATGAACTGCTTGTGCACTGTAGTATTACTCTCTGATGCGCAAAAGAAACTAATAAAGAAAAACAAAGAAGTGTACATTTGTATACAAATTAACAGATCGTAAATAATATGTTACGTTGAGTTGGGAAGTTCGTTTTGTGTTCATATATGCTGCTTTGTGTTATCAAATATAGGGTAAAGTTGGCAAAGATGACTAACTGTGCATGTTCACGCGGTGGTTGTTGGTTGTTTTCAGTCATACGTAATGCATCGTGGAAAATATCAAGACATCACATATTGAACAACCAAGCCGTTGTTTATGGTCGTCATCGCGATCATCTTCATCGTCATAAAAGCAAAAGCGCACGCCAACCCAGCCAATCACAAGTCTGGACCCTAAGGAGCTTCGCCCTTAATATTAATCGATCGCCGTCGAGCACGAAGATCCTGCATAATGAATCAGGACGAAAAGCTGCACCTTGGATAAAGGAAAAGCCTGCTATAATTATTAGAGAGATGAGTTGCAGCAGAAGACGATGAGCGATTTGTTGTTCCCGTGTCGAGCGAGGAACGAAATTTTAGATTTTCGAAATTACCATATATTTATTCGTTTCAATTACTAGCAATTTACCTACTTTATTTGAAAGTTAACTTATGACTATCCACACTTATATTCCCTAGATGACTGACTGTATATATTTTGCTTGATCAGAATAGCACATTGTGTTTTCTCTGATTATAATAACCACCGCTTTAACGGCCGATCCCCCCAGTTGGTACGAGCCAAGGCATATAAGAACAAACAAGCAAGCAAGCAAGCAAACAAGCAAGCAAGAAAGCAAGCAAGCTAGTAAGCAAGATGGGTCATCAAGTAGAGGGCGACGAACCTCCAGGGGTTCTACCAGCCGGAGCGTCCTGCCGAGACTTTTCCGGGGGAGGAAACCACAGCGATGGTGAGCGACCTGTGGTTTGGTAGAAACTGCCATGCTGGCAAAGAAGCAGCACCAGCTGGTGTTCTGGCCAGCGCAGCGCTTCGAGCTGCTTGGCGAGGTTGCCTCTGGCATCTAAACGTCTCCCCACCGTCCGACAGTTTCTCGTCATAACCAGCCAACATGGGTCCACTTCAAATATCAAATCATCCGCGTTTTGGTTGTGCATGTGTCTATCATACTTTGTCCGGCTAAGACTGAAGTCATGTGCCAACAAGGACGTACGGCGTACAAACAAGTACTCAAGAGGGAAGTCAGGACACCAGAACCGGCTGCACGTTTTGACTGTGCAACTGTGCACGCGTTCTCACATCCTGCTTCCGTTCGCATTCTGACGCCCTGTATTTTCTAGAATGAATATGCAATAACTAGCTCAGCTCTGGCATTTTGCACTCGTCTATCACGGCTCCACCACTCAGCCACTTTCTAACTATATATCTTAAATCTATGAACTCTCATTTTGGTCACCGTTAGGATTGTTTTATCGTGTATGTTGGTCATTTTGTAAGCTATCTATTTTCTTGTTGATAGATTATTTTTTCCCTATTTCTGTATTAGAAGAGTGCACATAGTTTGTTGAAAAGCGCCCTTGTACACTTTCATGCCCTCTGCCTCTGAGAGCTAACACAAAAAAATCACAGCGTGAATAACAGAGCGAATGATGATTGGTGGGGCGAAGCGGCTGTCAGTCTGTCGTTGCTTCCGTGGGTCCATTCGCTCTAGTTTCTTTCGATCCGTGTGACCCTCGGTGCGTCCATTCGTCCGTCTTTCCGTCGGTCCATTCATTTATCTGTCTGTCTGTCCATCTGTCCCTGCATTTGTTCGTGTGGCTGTCCCTCTGTCTGTCCATTCATCAGTCCATCCATGCGAGCGCTTCTCTGTTTGTCTGTCCGTCCATGCATCCATCAGTCCATCCGTCCACCTCTATATTCATTCATCCGCCCGTATATTTAGTGAACACTCCAAGTACCGCCATCTCTCATCTTTTCATAATGCATTCACCATTAGAGTTACTGTATATGCTACATGATTGTATATGTATCTCATTTGGCTAGTACAAAGTACAAAATCTAGACATAGAGCCATCAAACGTTTGTGTAGATGCCATCACAAGAGCAGTTCACGGCTTGTTTTGAAAACCATCTGATATTGAGTAGCCTAGATGAAATTCGCGCTAACGCCTGACCATATGTCTTTGGCAAAGAAAATTGTTTGCGAATATCTACAAAAACAATAGTAAAAAGGGCTAAATAAGTTTTGTCTCTTCCTTAATTTATATTGTGATAGCATAATCAACAAGCATAAACTCCTCTCGTCATAATGGCGTAATTTCGTGAAAAATGTGATGCCTGAAGTGATATTACCTATGACGTAGGTATCTGTCAAATTATGTCAACACTACACGCATTTACGACACGCAGTACCAAAAGCAACCGCTTTGCTTAGCCATAAATTTTCTTGTTTAAGTCTACCAGGACCTGACGTCTTGCACTTTTGGCACTAGTCGCCATAGACTGTGTACTGTGCCGAATAGCCAGGTCCCAGTATTTTCAGTATCATAGGTTTTACACGCTATAACCTCTATGAGGCACACTGTAGTGGAGAACTCCTGATGTTTTGACGACATGATGGTAATAATTCTTTACTGACACCGCACAGCACACGGCCAATCAGCGTTTCGGCTCCATCGAAATGCGACCAGATTATCTGGGATCATACTCGCGATATTCCTGCATTAGGATTAGCAGCCGAGCGCCTCATCGGCCTCACCACCGTGGCAGACCACCTGTTCCATATCATCGCTACCAATATGTTATTAGTAGTACCTTGTTCCGCCACGCAGGGCTAATTTTCCGCAGTGCGTTCCTGCTACCTGCCTCATAGGAGGTATCCACTTCACGAATATTGCTTCATAAAAAAAAGAAAACGCTGCCTTGTGTGTAGAGTTGAGAAACAATCGGTAATAGCTCTCGGCTTTCCTAAGTGAATATTACAGACATTAGGCATCATTCGTTTTAGCAATCAAGTCAATAGCATGCTTCACTAGCTTCGTAGACTTTGGTTACTATATCTTCGCAGGTGTTGCTTAAAGATGGCGCTGCGTTAGCAGTACCTTGACAACAAAAGAGAGAAAAATTCATTGTGTTTTGATAAACTCCGGCTTTGAGCACGGCAAAAAAACATTTCAATCTGAACAATTGTATATTTGGTTACACTGCTTTTGAGTACATTGTTGTGTGTTTCATAATGCCTAGATAAATAAAATGACGCAATGGAGGGCTCTTTCTTGGAAATGACATGTCAGCTCGACGCACTTCATTGTTCAGTACTCCTACAGCCTGACAAATATGAGGTACGTCCTTGCGAATGCTCTAGAAAATTTCAAAATGAAAGTATGAGGTTTTACTAGGCCATCATATTGTTGCAGAGGTACAGAAGAGTAGTGAACCGACATCCGGCGAAGCGGAAGGATACACTTTACTCACACTTCTAGTCATATACAGACCTACCGCCTTACTACCATGTACAAAAGGTTACTTGTGGTGATAATGGTACTTTACGTTGCCGGCAAAACGAATACAAATAATCATCTACCAACACGTCTTCTACATAAATACTCAATCAAGGACGTAAGTGATTATTTTTTTTCAGTTCATTTCAACGTCTCCTTTCTTACATGGCTCAAGAAGGCGCTTTCACGTGAATAAAAAACCAGTTACTTTTCAAAGAAGTTTGGCAGAATCAGTGTCCTAAAAATTGCATGTTATGGAATGTAGGCGCCAAATATTCACTTGTGCTGATTTTTATTTCGGCTCCCAATAGATCTAAATATTTCAACAAGTGTAGGCTGTGTATGCAAATTGTGCCGTAATTAGGGACGTCGAATCGACTAGCGTTCAAACAGTAACAAATAAAGGCCACAACGTGAGTAACCATTTTAGAGACGATACATCAGTATAATCGAAACGAAGTGCATATCACAGGGTGATGGCCTAAATATTATATGTTGCTTTCGTTAGCATACTTTTCTGCATTTTAGCAACGCTTTTGTATAGCTTGTTGAATTGTACAAATGTAAATATTGATTTATAGATTTTTGTTAAAGCAGAGACAGCACTTTAACTACAATCGACGTTAATCCTTCAAAACGCCTGTCTCATAGAAGTAAATGTGTGATATTTTTGTGCATTGTAATAAAGTGGCATAGGTAATCATCAGTAACACCGACAAAAGACAGTTGAAGTAACTTTGACTCTTCTTACATTGTCCTAGAAGAAAATACCTCGCTAGAGAAAGTAAAATACTTGTTCCCTAGCAAGCCCCCTGTTCTAAGTAACTCTTACTTCGGCTGGCCGGAGTAATTACGTAGCGCATCCTGTGTCCGTTTCAGTGATATTTGACTCCAGTGGGCATATCATACGGGCTGGCTGGAGTGACCGCGTAACATCTCCAAAACAGTTTTTTCGCTCCGGCTCAAGAAAGACCACTCCTCCAGGTTTCGCAGTGACTGCTGCGCGTTTTGCGCAGGCCTGGCGTTTCTTACGTTGTGCCGAAATATTCAAACACAAGCAGCTTGATCATCTTCGCCTAAAGCATAATATCACAGGACTTCGGAACTTTTCGGATCAGGAGTGATGGGCTTCCTTTGTTGGTGCGATGAAGATTTTGTAGGATACATTTTTTACGCATATAGGTCATTTTTGTGTGTGTTTGCAGACATTCTTCAAGTTGTTCTCACGAGTATCCTGAGTATAAAATATTGACACCAAGCTGAAAATTCGAGCTCTCTTTCAAAGGTTTTTGTTCAATAGACAGCAAAAGGGCCTTGCGAAATTGGGCGATCTCCTTTGTGCTTTCTTATGTTTAATTACATTAGGTGCTATGAGGCTTCTGAAGTAATAATTTCATAGCTTTAAACTATACCCAGTTACAGGAGCTACCAGCACGCCTGAACGCGGAGGAACCGAAGGCAGTTGAGCCTTCGCCTTAAAGTTGGAGTGGTAAATGCGATAGCAATAAACTGTAGTGGTATACTAAGACACGCTCGCAGGCTCTGTGGATACGGTTTCGCGAAACCGAAACAAAGCTCTGAATGGGCACAATATTCTCACTTCAGTAACTGAAGCAGCTTTCGTAATGCCAATTTCTGAATGCTAAGGAAGTGTTAAGAGCAGAGAAAGCCTATACGAGCCATGTCCGGGTGCGCGTCGAGTTACGACGTGTGGAGGCGAATAAGCCCTCGAGCACGCCCCTACGTCACCTGTTGTTTCCGCACGCTTCACCTGAAACACGGGCGGACTGTTTGTTCCCTTTGGTTTTTTTGAACAATTGCTGGCAGGCCTCGCGCGTGTGAGCAATTTAGAGAGTTATAGTTAAGGGTTAGCACGATAGCAGATTTAAAGAAATGGCGTTATACTGTGCCGCAAGAGTTCGTTGCAGACAGCGCGCTCTAGTTTCGCAGTATAGCATTTACGTGCTCAAGCTTGGTGCGACCTAGCGGAAGCTCAAAGTATTTGAAAAAAGTAACAAAGCAAACTCAGAATTCCCGGCTGCATCGCCGTGCACAACAATATACCCGCACTGAACTACTATTTTTTAGTAGCAAGAAAAGTAAAAAGCATTGAACTACGATCCAAAAGCGCAAAACGGTATGTTAAAAATATGTTTACACCGATATTCTAGTTAGGTTTACGGATGTGCGGATGGGGAAACAGGTTCAGCAGCTATGCTAAGTTATCCGCAATAATCGGTCATCGAATCTACCTAAAGGTTGCAGTGAAACTATTTCGCGCAGTCATTTCCACAAAAGAAGTGAGTGGCCCCACCGCGGTGGTCTAGTGGCTAATGTACTCTGCTAATGTACTCGACCTGCTGAGCCGCAGGTCGCGGGATCTAATCTCGGCTGCGGGGGCTGCATTTCCGATGGAGGCGGAAGTGTTGTAGGTCCGTGTGCTCAGAATTGGGTGCACGTTAAAGAACCCCAGGTGGTCGGAATTTCCTGAGCCCTCCACTACGGCCTCTCTCATAATCATATGGTGGTTTCGGGGCGTTAAACCTCATATATCAATTGCAAGAAGTGAGTGCGTCAACACTAATGCTAAATTCAGATCGAAGTAGGCATGCGAAACCACGGCCACGTTTTACGTACAGTACGTTCACCACGCAAGCACTGTAAAGCTAAATCTGCAAAAAAGCGCACGCACGGTCCACACGCTAGTGGTTGTTTAGCGTACTGCGCATTTCGATCCCGCTACTTCGCTGACCCCACAAATCAATCACTGAATATTATCGCATGCGCCGTCAGTGCGACGGAGGTAGCTGGCCCGTTCTCTCCTCTAGCAGCGTTCATTACCAGCGCTTGTGAGCTTTCACTCATGTCGAGGAGATACGAGCCACGAGGTGAGGTTTGAAAGTTAGACTTCATGCTGCGAATGACAGCGACAGCAACGTCAGCGACTAAATGCGTCGTAACGTTTCTACATATACCTGCTATCGCAATTATAGCTTGATTTTTCAATTAGTTATTAGAATGAAGTGCTTATCCGTGCGTATAACATTCGATACAATCATGAAAAATTCAGCGGATCCTTCGTGCCTTAGAAATCCATGTTATGTGACGGATGCGGATTGAAGGTGAATGTGTATAATTTTTAAATTAGCCAGATGTTATGAAGTGGCGCTAAATATATGTGCGAATTTTGTACGCACAGACATATGTTGAAGAGTTGCACATGTTTACACAACCAGTTGTATGCACTTAGGCAACAATATCAACTAGAATATGCGTAGTAGCAACACTACACGCTGATATGAAGCACTGATGCTCGCGAGGATGCTGGCCCTGAGCACTGCCACATAACTCAGCTTCAGCGCATGGCAGCTAACCACGATTGATGTTAACCCGACGTGACGGCTGTATTAAAAAAGTGCATATTTATGTTTATAAAATGAATAGGCAGCCCGTTAACAGCCCCGTATGTTTTATAACAGCTGTTGCTTACAGTTGTGTAACAACGCCTAATGCGACCATAGATATTAGCAACATCACAAGTAGTAAGCTTATACGAAGCGCTAGCATTTGCGCTGGTGAGCGCAACAAGGGTAGCTCTCAACACTGCTAGACAAATCAACTTCAGCGGATGGCGCGTAACTGCAATTTACGTTAACTGAACATAACGGCTGTCATATGAGTACACATGCAGTGTTTATAAAAGTGCATAGCCCGCGCTGTAAACACAGTTGACATTACACGAATAGGGGGGTATATATGAAAACTTTGTCCGAGGCCTGGCAGCAGCTTTGTGGTAGAAGTACACAGTTGACGCGCAGAAAGCTAGGGTTCGATTCCTCCTGGGACACTGACATTTATTGCTCGCATTTGTCCAGTCAACGCTGCCCGTGGCAGATTTTTCTTAACGCCCAAGCGTTGAAGTTGCCCATGTGTCTTCTTGCCGTTACTGCATAGATGTAAATTGTCTACACCTGTAGCGCATACCCTCTCCCGTGTAAAGTGCCGCCGTTTTTTTTTGGAAAGTGTTTGATGACGTACGTGACAAAATTGTGACAATATTCATGTCGTGACCAGCGCGGCATACGAGCGAGCAACAAGCAACGGTAAAGAGTACACGCAAGAAGTGTGCGTATAAATCCTACGCAAGGTGCAGCTATTCGCGTCAAAGCTTTTCGAGTACATACTGCGGAAAGCTACGTTTATTTAACAAACAAAATAATAAACGGCCCTGGGTGACGCCTTCAAACACTGGGGAAAAGCGTGATAAATTATATTACAAAACGATGCACCAGGATGTCTATCTAACAAAAACATGGACAGTTTGAATGAAGAGTGTTTTCTCGAGGCTTGTTTTCTCGCAATTGGTGGACCGTGTCACTTTTTTTCTGAAGACCACGAAATGTCTTCTAATCACAGGAAAGTGAAAGAAGTGTGTGCACAAAGAAATCAGAAAAAAAAATTAGAGAAGCTCCAGAGCTGCCAGTTTTATTTGTCTATCTGATCTGTTATTGTTGCCTATGCTAAGCGAAACTGCGAGTCAGCATGAATATTATATGCATTCACCTCAAGGGTTTTGCTCTGGAAACACAGGGAAAAAGACAAGCCACATATACACAAGTCGTAAATGCAGCAGCTCAGCTAACTTAAAATTGTTTCGTATTTTATCTTAATGACAGAGAGCTAAATACCCAAGAATATGAAAATCACCAGCCTATTTTCTCTGACTTCGGCGTTTTTCTTTAGTTTTTCAACAGCTCTGAATGCATATGGATGTGCAAGGCGTCAATGCGAATCGCCATCCGCTTCCAGTATGACCAAATGACCAAAATAGACTCTCGGTTCATTTTCTTCAAGAGAACTTTCTTGATCAGAGGACAAAGGTCTGTTTATTTTCTTTTTTATCTTCATTCACTGCATTTAATTGGCACTTGCTTTTTCAATCGACAGGCGTAGCATTGAGCTTCGAGGAGAACTCAACCCACGACACATGGACCGCATGGATGTCAGTTCCCGAGGTACAGAATGCATGCGTGATACACACTTACTATATTAATCGACAAACGCAAAGAATTTAGTGTCTAAGATACTCGGCTGCTGACCCGCAGGTCGCGGGATTGAATCCCGGTGGCGGCGGCGACTGCATTTCGATGGAGGTGGAAATGCTGTAGACCCTTGTGCTAAGGTTTGGGTGTACGTAAAGAACACCAGGTGGTCGAAATTTCCTGAGCCCACCACTACGGCGTCTCGCACTAATCTCATGGTGGTTTTGGGACGTTAATTCCTTGCATATCAATCGAATGATCAAGACATACGCTAAGGAAATGCTGCCAACATGATGGTCACAGGTGGTAAATCTAGGTAAAAAACAGCGCTTCCTGAAGAGCTTGGGTACATGGTGTACCTGCACACAAAAACTTGAATGCGCTGCTTCGTACAGGCACAGAATTGATGGTACGCATGTGAGACTGGGGATAGCATATTGATAGTAGTGATGTCGCATGCATGGGCCACCCAAAATACATTCTATAAACAGGAAATCAAATGGCTCACGAATTACCTTTAACTTTCACTTTCGCTTTACACCCTATAGGCCCCATGTAGGGGTCATTACATAAGGAGTGGGAGTACAAGGCATGACACTCGACCGTTATTGAGAAAAAATGAGCTCTTGCGGCTTGAATGAAAGCTTCTGGGTTGGTGATGGCAACGATGACGTAGAGAAGGCCGTTCCAATCTACAATGATGTGTGGGAAAAAAGAAGACGAGATGGTGACAGTGCATGTTTGTGTGCAAGTTACACTTAAGGAATGGCTCGTACGAAGAAGATACATGAGCTGGTGGTGAAAGGTAAGGAGTCTGATTGAGTGAGCTGTTGTACGTTTTGTGTAGTAGAGATAGGCTGGCAATGCGACGGCGATGGGAAATAGGGGACAGGCCTAATTCTGCCTTTAGCGAGGATACGCGTACGTTGTATGAATATGATGAATACCATCTCTAGTGCATGTGTGAGGTAACAATGATGAGGGTTCCGGATTGCGGAAGTGAACTGCAAGTGTTGGAGGAATTAGTCTTTTAGGCAATAAGTTCAGAATGAGGAGGGGCGTTTGATAGATGACGCCTAAGAAAGCTTAAGGTTTCGTTAGAGGGAGAGATGAGGTTGGACACATGCAGAAACTAGTTAGGATTGTTGGAGATGGTGACACCGAAATATTTATAAGCACTAGCATGTTCAATCTGAGTGGTAGCTATTTTGCACGGATAGAGGTGAGGGCTACGGAAACGCGTGAAGGGCATTGCTTTACATTTACTGGGGTTAAGAACCATAAGCCAGTGACCACAGCCAGTTTAGGATAGCAGATACACTACTCTGTAGCAGAGTCTCATCGGGGGTGTTAGCTACTGACTGGTAAATGACACAATCGTCTGCTAACTTGCGAATAGAGCAAAAAATAGCTAATGGCAGATCATTGCTGTATATGAGGAATAATAGGGGACTTATTACGGAGCCCAGGGGAACGCCGGAAGATACGGGAACAGGGCTAGAGGTCATGCTATTGATGTAGACGCCCACGCGTACCAGCTTGAAAGGTTAACTTTTTGCAGGGACATCGACGATAGGTTTTTGTGCTTCCTGCTTTTTCCGTCATTGTGCTCATCCTTACTTTTAGTGAATGTTTCTGGTGTCTACACTGCTTATGTCCATCTTTCCACGACCCTTCATTTAGCGCAGCTAATTATTTTTTGAGGTGGTTTTGATATTTATATGCGTATTAGCTGGCCAACAAAAAAAGCGAAGGTTTGTATTTTCTGTGGCGTATTTTTAAGTTCTGCAGCGCCTATAGACATAGATTGTCTGGGTGTTCCCAGTTTACATTTCTGGGTTTTGCGTGCTAAAATCGTGATATAGTTTTGTGAGCCGCGACAGTGGAGAGTAACGGAAATTTCATACTATCGGCCTTTTTGTCCTGCACATAAATTCATCTACGTGTACTTGTATTACTTTCTTTCATCAATTAATTTTCCTAATATCACCTTATATTCGTATACCCATAAATATGTAATTGGCATATAAATCTATTTTGATAGCGTTCTCGAGCCGTTTGTCCCATTCTCAAGCATGCTGTATTGTTTACTCAATGAGCCGGCGAGTTTCCTAAACGCCGAGCATGCCAAGCAGCCTTAAAACTACTGAGTGGAAAAAAATCGGCAGATCACAGGTACCTTGAGCAACAATGTCACCAAAACATGCGGAATGAAAATGACTGTTGTAATTTGTTATTGACCAGGACGTTGCAAGATGAGCCCAAATATATGAACGCCTGTTTTACGCACATGCATACGTTGAAGAGACGCACATTCCTTGCCTAACCAGTTGTGTACAGCCACGTAACGATGCCAACAGCTACATATTTATTGATGGCCCTGGAAACTACTATATAAATCAACTTCGTTTGATGGCGCCTCATTGCAATGGACGTCAATGGAGTGGTTGGCTCTGCCATAGGGAGTAAATATATAGTATTCATCAGTTGGCTAACCATCACTGCAACCATATTTCACATCTCACGAGCATTACAGTGTATAAGAGTGATTTGAAAAATCGTCATGGCTTTGTGGTAGAAGAATACTTGATTACCACACAGAATTCAGGGGTTAAATTCCTACTGGGACCCCGGCAGAGGCACTTTGCATTCAGTCAGGCCAGTGCTGCCGATGTCAGCTTTGTCTTAATGATCTCACGTTAAAGTACCAGTGTCTGTTCAGGCCGTTCTGGCTTAATATAAAGTGTCAAGTACCTGTGGCACATACTCACTGTGGGAATCGGGTGCCGCACGTGACAGCTGCAACGAGTTTGGTGACCCAAGTGACAAGGTTTTAGCATTATTCTTGTTATGACCAGCGAATCATAGTCATCAGAGAATCTAGTCCTCCACACTAAGTATTGTTTACCGGAAGTTAAGGGGGTGATTACGAGAGCACTCAGACGTGGGAAATTGGATAGATAGATAGATAGATAGATAGATAGATAGATAGATAGATAGATAGATAGATAGATAGATAGATAGATAGATAGATAGATAGATAGATAGATAGATAGATAGATAGATAGATAGATAGATAGATAGATAGATAGATAGATAGATAGATAGATAGATAGATAGATAGATAGATAGATAGATAGATAGATAGATAGATAGATAGATAGATAGATAGATAGATAGATAGATAGATAGATAGATAGACCACAAGTATCTGTTGTTCAAAAAAGAATGCTGCGCATTTAGTAGCCTTAAAGTCAAACAGCTATCATAACAGGGATTCATTCATGTCGAAAGAGATTGTACTTTTAACGCAGAATGAATCACTTCCGCCAATACTCGACAATAAAGTGACACATAATGCTAAATGCTCCAAAAACAATAAGATAGAACTCATTTGGTGGATTTTGTGCAGAACGATTGCGTCACCCGCTATCTCCGGCGCCAGCGTAGGTCTCGCCGATCGGCCCAGCATCCACGAACTCTTAACGCCGCTGTAGGTCTATCCGATTGGTGTCCCGTCCTTGTACTTTTGGAATCGTGTTCAATGTTTTATTGCGATAGCAATTATAAGGAAACTCAGGGCTGGATTTTTTCGCCAGCGTCGGCGTCATGCACCGTGTATATATACGTATCTATATATCTATATATATATATATATATATATATATATATATATATATATATATATATATAGATATATATGTATATATATATATATATATATATATTATATATATATATATATATATATATATATATATATATATATATATCTGCCCATGGCAAGTTATCTTTTCACCCACTTTTATTTCTTCACATTTACCTTACAATTCAGTCTAACAACATTCCTACATTTTGCTTGGCATTATCGTCCCTTAGAATTCATTTATGTTATGTCAAAGCACAGAAAAACTAGCTCTCATGTATACACTTCTTTCGATTATTCATTAACAAGGGTCTCGTACTGGCAGACTTGGTGGTGCCACAGGTTGTACACGAATAACTATTGGTCAGCTGCCTGATTGACAATCTCACGTTGAAATTCACATATATACCCATATGTGGCTGGGAGGATAGTCGCTGTGGTAGCTCAGTAGAAGAGCATCGAACGCGTTATTCGAATATCGCAAGTTCGGTTCCTATTCACGGCAAGTTATCTTTTCACCCACTTTATTTGCTTCACATTTACCTTACAATTTGGTTAAATAACTTCCCCTGTACTTTCCTTGGCATTATTGTCTGTTAGATTTTATTATATTGTGTCAAAACACAGAAAAGCAAGCCCTTGAATATACACTTCTTTCCCTTATTCATTAATGAGGGTCTCTTACTGGCGGACCTGGTGCCTTACCTTGTATACGAGGTACTATTGGTTTTCTGCCAGCTCGTAATAAGTTAACGTGCTACGTGACGCCCCACAGGCTCATAAATTAGTGCGCCACACTCGCCGACATGGGTATACAGATGGCGCTGACCGACATTCTCACGTTTAAATTCACATATATACCAATAAAGTGGCTGGGAGAATAGACGCCATAGTAGCGGAGTGGTAGAGCATCGAACGTGTTATTCGAAGGTCGCAGATTCGGTTCCTGCCCTTGTGTCTCTTGTGTCTCTTGCGTAATTTTCTAGTCTCTTGTCTCTTGCATATTTGTCGCTCTTGACTTCTATTTATTTTAATTTCTCTTTCTCTCTTTTTATATTTTTACTTGCTTATTCTCAATTTTTACACGATTGTGTTCCCAAGGTTTCCAAAGTGCTAATTTCTGTACTTTATTTCATCGTGACGCTCCTTGAAAAACAAGGCGAGCAAGTCTTTCCTTTATCATGGGCGATTGATCGGCTTTCTACACTTGTCCTACATGTAGTTTTTCTTACGCTGATATCATAATCATTGTGCGCGAAGAACAAGAGAAAGAGAACGCCTTAAAAGTGTCGTAAAATCCGTTCTAAGAACAAGCGAAATACGTTTTGTCTTTAGCTCAATACGCAAGAGGGTGAATGAATACTATATATTTGTGTGTTTACCTGTGCTACGCCAAGAAACGGGCGAAAAGCTAAAGCGGCTCATTACTTCGGCGTCAGGTGCGCGCTTTCATGTGCGTCACGATGAGATCATGATATCAAAGTAGAGCCCTCTATTATCCCGTGGCTGCATGCTCACCGCACACGCTGATGGTGCAGAAGGCCCTTAACGCACTCGGCCGTCGCTCGGCTCCGTTCTGAATTTCACGCTGAGCGCCCTAACTCATCCTGCGCCGATTGCCCACTCGTCCAACCGACTGCGACTCGGCCATAACAATGTGCCCTGTGTTCATTATTGCGCACGCGTTGCTAAGCCTGTAACCTTTACGTCGAGTCTTGTAGCGTCTGAAAATTGGACTCGCTACCCGCGTGGCATCACCGTGACGAAACGAATGCCGGCACGCGCGCGTACCGTGAACGTCGGAGTACAATAAAACATTAATGCATCCCACACAGCTAAAATTCAACGCACTTCAAAAGTCAGTGTTTGAGTCAATATCAGTGTTTGCATTTCAAACAAACTAATAAAACTATGGAGACAAACCACGCAACTGCCAGCAAAATGCGCAGCTGTGATAGGAATAAGAAACCATGGCATTTGTCATGTAATCAAGGAATTGTCTACCAGCTTCCCCTGTCGTTGGGAAATAACTACGTGAAGAATACGGGGTGGTGCCTGAACAATAGGCTTAGTCAACACGTCTGCGGAAAGAAGTGTGGTGAAGGTCTGTTATTCATGCATAGCCGCACGTATGACACTTAGGCTTTTATTTATTAGTGCCTTATTGTGCGCTTGGACTAGAATAGAGCCACGTGGCTCTTTGTTAATTCTTTAACCACACACTGGCTAGACCAAGGTTATGTTATCGCAGTGTCATTGTCAGTATTCATAAAAGGATTCTGGTTCATTATGCATCCACATCTGCAAAGCCTTGAATATTACGTTTTATATTTTCGGATTCAGTGTCTCACAAACCACTTTCGAAATTTATTTCTTGGAGTATGTTACTCCGATGGCCGTGCTCTCAGCACCACTCGTAACGCTATCATATAAACAGTATATTGCAGGCGGAATAGGTGGCCGAGCTGGTCCAAGAGAGGTTTGTTCGAAGATGGCTGGAAAAAGCCTTTTGCTTTCATGCATCCACACCTGCAAAGCCTTGAGTATTATGTTTATATTTTCGGATTCAGTGTCTCACAAACCACTTTCGATATTTATTGCTTAGAGGCGTTACTCCGATGGCCGTACCCTCAGCACCACGCGCAACGCTATCATTTACCCAGTATATTGCAGGCCGAATAGGTGGCCGAGCTGGTCCAAGAGAGGTTTGTTTGAAGATGGCTGGAAAGAGCTTTTCACCTTCACTGTAAAGAGCCAGAATATTATATTTGAGGCCTCTGAAATATTGAGCCAGTGCTTTAGTCGATGTGTTTGTGCATTACAGGGTTACCAGCTGTTCTTCGGGAAACTTTGGTTTATGAGGCTCGAAATTCTTCATGTGCCGTTGTGAAGATCCGGCCAAATATACAAGGTATGCGATGACCTATTTTTTTTTCTTGTACAGCATGCATTAGCAGCATCACCATTCCCGTCCGACATCAGTGTCATTTCGACTTACAGCACTGTACCTTTGCTTCTGTTCGTGGTGTGGCGGCTATAGATACAACTTAGTAAGACGGAGGATCCGGCTAGTTCGTGTTCCTATCAGAAACGTAATAGCGCGGAAGCACAATGGACAAGAAAAACGACGGAAATAAGCACTCATCATAAAACAAATAAATATAACTAAAAGCGTGTATTAAATAGGATGACATACAGAAACATCAGGTATATATCCTTATAAATATAGCAACGTGCTACGAAACGACTTGAAGATGAAAAACATAAACTAAAATGCGAGCCTTTTCGGAGTTACTATTTGGCATATAGTTTGAAAGACATCGCAGCAATCCTGCCCGTTGACTTAGTGGCTGCGGCAGCGCTATTATGACACATATATCCACTGGAGGGCATTCGCGGCATTTTTCTCGTTGTCTGGGTTTTGCCAACACTGCGCACCATATTTGACATTTTCAAACTGCGCTGCGGCGGTATTTTTTAGCAATACGGCTGAAAGTTAAGAAGTAAACATGAACTTTCACTTTATAGTTAGGGAATAATTTTCCGATGTATTGCAAATTGAGTGCGTATACGCAGATGTAAATTGGGTGAATATGCATGCAAATGAAATAGTTACTCATTGTTTGCGGCGTTATAAGTGATAACTTATGCTAGATTCCCCACTTGCAGCGGCCGGTCTGTAATTTTGTAGCATAAATCTACAGCGGCCCAAGCTGATCAGTCTCGTGTGGCTTATCGAAATCCGAACTGCACATGCCTGAGGAGCACTGACGTCATACGAGGTATAGCTGGAAGATGACAAGAACAACAAGACAGAAGGCACAGAGGTTAACCAGGCACATGCCCGGTTTGCTACACTACGCTGGGGGAACGAGAAGAGTTGGTATAAAGATGAGAGAGACAGGGGGGAGGGAAGAGAAGAGAAAGATACAAAAAAAGGATTGTCAGTTAATGGGCTGACGTGTATGCAGTGGTGGCACTACATAAAAGTTAAAAGCGTTTACATAGGCCTGTAGTCAACAAAAACCAAAAGATGGCTTTGACTGCCTTTTGAGCCGACGAAACATGAAAAGGTGCTCCAGTAGCATCAGCATAAAGAATGGCCGATCGTCCAATTGTCGCAATGCGTCAGAAAGCTTCTGTCTTTCAGACGTAAATAGAGGGCAACGGTGTAGCAGATGGTCAATGTATGTCTTCTTCGGACCCACAGACGTCGCATTCTGCACTGTCGGTCAACTCAATCAGGGCTGTATGTGCTTTGTGAAGGCACCCCCCAAAAAAAGGTGAGAAAGAAGCGAAGCTCCACGTTGAGAAAGTCTGGATGGAGGTGGAAGTTTCAGTCGAGGATTTATTTGGTATAGTCTCGTATGTTTTATTGGTGTGCCTGAGAAGAACCCGAAGCTGCTGCAGTGACGTGTCACTAGGCCTGGCTTCTGACTCACGCGAGTTCGCTCACTAGTCTTTTCATACCTCCGTTTGTCCGTCTGTGCGGCCGTGAATCTCTTTGTACACTCGTCATTGCTCAAGGTACGTATATTTTGGCATAGCCGAGCTGAGTCACTTCTAAATGTTCGCTAGTGTGCACTGCTTAGGAAAAACAATACTGGCACTAAAATAAGGAAAGCGATAGCTCAGTGCATCTCCATACAAGTGAAGAAATGTTTCGTTTCTCGAATCTCAACTTGTAACTTCTTCAGGTTAAGTGACGCGGAAGTACCTTGAGCGAAAGCCTTGCGCCGCACGTTTTCAGAAAATAAGAGCTTGTCAACGTGCACTTGTGTTGTGGCTCCTGAACCTCTCCATATGCTTGCCTAATCCTTAACAAGCAATAAAGCGAAAACACAGAATAACGCTTTATTTTCGGAATCAATCGTTATCGTTTTCCTCAAAGCAAGCTAAAAAACCAATCGCGGCAAAATTGATATAATCGCGTTCCTTAAAGGTTAATTTTCAATTTGCAACTGCAACCTTAGTTTGGATGCCAGTTTGATTGTGGAGATGCGTCAGTACATGAGAAATAACAAATTTGTGAATTTATTAAATTTGCCGTCTTGTTTTTATTGCTTATTGCAGGTGCAGCATCTTATTACGAGCTTCGAGTGAAAAACACTTGTAATAGAGCTGTGATTCACAGGCGGTGTTGGAGACACTATTATAGCGTCACAGATCAAGAGAAAAAAGATCACGGGCCAGAGTGACAAGATTGTGTTCACTCACGCGAGTTTACTTACGATGTGCTCAGATGCAGTATCTATTCCTAGCAACCTGAAAATATTTATCCCTTGTAGTAGTAGTGAGCATTGCTGATATTACACAAGAATATTGTTCTCAGCCAGTAAATAAAAGGGGCTGAAGCTATGCGCTTCAGTTGTGCATGTTGTGTTCAAAGCATTCAAATGTAATAAAGACTGTCATCCACAGTTTTGTTGTAATAAGTGTTTCGCGACCTTTTCGCTAAATAATCGAGGCGGGCGCTGCAAAATTTAGCAGAGAACCCGGGAAGTGATTATTTTGCTCTAAGGTTCTCCACAACCTCTCTCAGACTCAAACGCGGACGTTGTTCTGCAGCTATATTACATTAGCCGTTATATCACAAGTACCCATTCCCATTAACCATATCAGAAAGCATGGAAGAATAGACACTGGGCCTTAAAGAGGCTTATAGAGCCTCTACCAGTACAACACACTGACTACGAATAACCCAATAGTCGACTCACACCTCCTACATTTGCGGGACTGCAGACGGGTACTCACCGAAAGAGGGAAGCTGCAAAAGCTCAACAGGGAATTAAGAAGAAGAATCGCAGATCTTCAGGACCAGGCGAATGCATACGTGCCTAAACTACAAGCGGAAAAGTGGGCGCAGTTTACTGTTTCCTTAAGGTGAACTTTATTAAGAGTGAAAATAAGGGCCATACTGAGAAATGTGCTTGATTTCAAAAATACAACGACTACTAACACGTGAGCACTCAGAACACTGAAAAACACGTATTAAGGCAACTACACAAAATTGCTGCAGGATCTTCTGGACTGGCACATCAGAACAGAATATTTGTAGTATCCTCAATGTGCTTACGCAGGGATAGAAGATAACACGCTAGACGCTCCTCTAATTAACAGACACATTTTTGCTGCCACACAAGCATTTAAGAAAAAAACTCAGCATTTGGAGGAGATGATAAAAGGAATCCTATGATGCACAATTTAAGCGACGAGCACCTAAAGCACTAAATTAAGCACTTCAATCACCACATCTGGGAAGAGAAACTGGGTGCCTTCCACAACACTGAAATAAATGCCAACATCCTACTTCATGCAAACGCTGGCCAAACTCACAGTCTGCAGAACCTACGTCCCATTAGCCTCGCATCTTGTCCAGAGAAAATCTCTCCAAAAGTCATTCACAAGACGCTTACGAATTACATATAAGGTTGCAGTATCCTATCAGAATACATATACGGGTTTAACAGCCACGTAACTACAGAGAACATGTCTTTCACATCTAAGAAAAAATGTCCTGAGCAATATTCTCACGGCAGAGAGTACATAGTCGCAGTGTTAGACCTTAGAAGTGCTTTCGACACTAAGTCGCACACAATCATACACGAAGAACTGGAAAATGAAGGAGGTGGAAAAATTCTCGCTAGTCTACAGTTACATACATACCTTTCTCAGGGGATAGGAAAGTCAGCATGGGAATAGAGGGCATCCGGTCAGAAATATTTGACATGCCAGGCAAGGGTATACACCACGAAGGGGCTATCCCACCTCCTATTTACTTATTTGAGGCCAGAACAGACTAGTCGAAAGATTAGAGCAATTTCCAGGCATCATGTTCTTCATATATGTCCACGACATCACCCACTAGGTGACAACTGGCCCTCGAGGGTACAAAGAATAAGTTTTACTTGTAACAAGAGAAGAAATTTATGTGTGTTCAGAACAAGGTGGAATGGCTTGCTTTCGAAACAAATCTGAATTGATGAGCGCACACGGCCTTAATTACAGAAAATTCTGAAGCGTTAGTCTATGGCCAAGCAAAGTGGAAATCAAGAAAAAACGAAAAGAGTCTTAAGTTTAGGGCTACAATATAATCGCAAGACCGATTTGACTACCATAACACTGAAGGCGGCCACCAAGCAAATCCACCAAGCGTGCATGATAAACAGAGTGGCGAGAAACAGCAGCGGTGTGATTGAGACGAAGACCATTCGACTAGTTACAAACGTTTTTTTTTTCTAAGGGGGTCAAGTATAGCTTGCCGTATCGAAACTTCAGTCCTAACGAATCCAAAGAAGTAGACGTGATCATACAAATGACGTCTACAGCGGCCATGCAACTGCCACTTAAAACATTGACAAAGAGTCTATCGAGCGCTCGGACTTCATAACACCTTCGAGGAGCTGAGGACACGAGGGAGCACATCGACCGCTCAAAGGAAGAGAGGAAGGTCCTTGAGAAATAAAGTTTCCCATCTGATCGCATTACTGCAAAGAGGAACTCGTTTTTGAATCCGAGACTTGACGGCAACAAGTGATAGCTTATCCCACTTCGAAGAGCAGAAGTCTACTCTACCATTGCGCAAGCGCACGGACTAGAATAAGATAACTCAATAAACATTTGGGTGGGCACAGTGACGTAATTTACGCACACTTTGTGAAGTCTGACCGTGGTCACGTTCTAAAGGTAGGAAACTACTCCGAGCATTCAAATATAGTCACCTTGGCCTCAGTGCGAATCCCTTGTAGGAGCACAGCACAAGCAACTCTCAGAGCATTAGCAAATAAACAAGCAGGCGCAAACAGGCCCTCAGTAGCAGTCATGGCCCAGCGCGTTGCCGAATGTTCGTAAACGAATGTCTGCCATGCCTAACTCTTATGCTACTAGAAGTACTCCGTGAATCCCACGGCATCACATGGTTTCGGGACACTCAGGGGTCCCAGAAAGTGAACGGGCAAACTCGCTCGCGAACTAGCGATTTGAGCTGACGATGCCCCGACTAAAATACCAAAAGACAACAGCCCACACATGCCAAACAACTAGAATCAATAACTTCCACATAAGCGTTTCCGCACCCTCGTCTTGGAGTTAGAGATGCTCGAAAATGCTGAGTAATACACATAAACACCGATCCACACTTGGGACTTTGGCACGCAGTGTGGCCAATGGTGTACGCCAGTTAATGCGCTTGGTGTGGGGAACGGCCGTCTTTTTCCAACATTTCGTGATTGATTGAATGATATGTGAGGTTTAACATCCCAAAACCACTATGTGATTATGGGAGACGCTGTAGTGGAGGGCTCCGGAAACTTCGACCACCTGGGGTTCTCTAACGTGCACCCAAATATGAGCACTCGGGCCTACAACATTTCCGCCTCCATCGGAAATGCAGCCGCCGCAGCCGGGATTTGAACCCGCGACCTGCGGGTCAGCAGCCGAGTACCTTGGCCACTATACCACCACGTCGGGGCCCAACATTTCGTGAGAATGCATGTCCAGGCCCCCCAAAATAAACTGTTTGCTGCTGTATATTTTGCTACGAGAGGCTTGAGAGGCCGTTCTCACTCGAGCTGACTTGAAGACCCAGAATGGTCTTTTGTATCCGGCTGAGCGTACAGCAACGTCCACTGGAGTCCTGACCTAAGAATCAACCCTTGCTGCACCCTTGTTTTATGCGTTTCAATAAAGCTTTTAAATAGATGAATGAATGAATCAATCAATCCACGAAGCGACATCATTACAGCGACACTTTTTTAATGCAGCTCGAAAAAGCTCGATGCACATGACATTGGCCTGGGACAAAAACGCACAAATACAAGCTCCCGCAGGAAATACGACCAAGTTTAGCGTGTTTGTAGTTCTACTATGGTAGCATACTGAGGCATGCGAAGGTAAGCTCACGAACTAACGAATAAAGCTGACGTTGCTCCGACTAAAATATCAAAAGACCGCTTCCCATTCGGTATCCTGGAGCACCAGCATCCTGAACGAGCACGCACCGGCATTACGCAATGAGGCCAATTTGGCGCCACGTAATGTACACCCCTGATGAATCGCCCAGTCAACATCAATTTGACGCATTTCAGAAGGCGGTTCTGAAAGTGCTCCAGCCAATGCATGCATGGATGCCACTGCTGCACATTGCTGTGATGGGAGAAAAACAAAAATACCCTTACCAGCGAGCGCTTTGACATTGTAGAGAAGTCTGTTTTGGTGTACGTGTATTAGAGCAGCCGTAATAAAAACTTAAGTCCTAACAGGAACTCATAAAACTATATAACTAAACCTTATTACTCATAATAAGAAGCGCTACGTATTCTGCAACTAAAAAAAACTGTAATAGACAGAAAACCACAACTGTGTGTCATATGTATAGACCGTGAGTTTAGTAACTTCTTTTTTTTGAGTGAGACCGAAGCTTGTACGTATTTGCTCAGCACGTAGCAAAAATTTTCCAGAACATTTCTTGTGATATGAATAATGCACATCCTCTCAGTTTAGTTTGAGCAGCACAAAACTGTGCACAAGTATTTTGGAAAGATACAAAAATGGTTTCTGTTTCGTCCACATTGGAGTTAAAAAGGTAAATCTTCTGACAAGCAAAAAGAGAATCATTCTGACGCTCCTTTGTATACCCTTCGAGCAAGAAGGTACTAAAGGCATTGGAAACATTGTAGTCATACAATTCACCCATTTGGTAGTGACAGGGATGACGCGAGTGTGCCCTTTAAACAGTGCGATGAAGGTTGCCAAAGAAAAGTGTTTCTACCGCGGCAAATGCGTCATCTTGACCCGTGGCGGACATTCGTTGTAAATTCATTGCTGCTACCATGTGGCTGTAGGTAAATGTTCTTTTTTTTACTCCTTTTTCTGCTACATATATTTGACCGCAATAAACGGGCACTTGTTTTTCGTCAGCGCTTGTGTTGTGTGTTGCCTCTATTTGGTACTTTGTGTGTTATATTTATTCTCTTAATAATTGGCATAGAGCTTTTTAATCTAAACTGGTAATATCAACAGACTGCCCAGATGGGGAACGCTATACAAGTCTTCATTTTCGTTTGCTCGTCCAGCAGCGGCGCCTCTCAAGAAATACACAAAAAAGACCGTTCTTGCAAGTTTTCTGAAACTTCCCTGTGATCTGCATTAAACGTCAAAAAATACCTGCAATGAACACTGCGGGTATTATTTGTCGCTACCATTCCCGAATGAAATTCCAAGCTTAATGGGTTAAATTATGAAAGAAATATTAACACTACAGCAGTGTTGTACTTGAACAATGTTTGTTAT